TGTGATCCTGTCCTTATATGGCCCAAGTCCTGTCCCTATATGGCCCAAGTCCTTATATGGTTCTGTCCCTGACCCTGTATGGCTCGAGTTCCTATATGATCCTGTCCTTATATGGCCCAAGTCCTGTCCCTATATGGCCCAAGTCCCTATATGGTCCTGTCCCTATATGGTCCAAGTTCCCACACGGTCCCTGACCCTATATGGCCCCCATCGCTGTCCCTACATGGCCTCAGTCCCCCCATGGTCCCAGTCCCTCTCTGCTCCCACTCTCAGCCCCATTATGGTCCCAGTTCCTCTCTGCTCCCACTCTCAGCTCCGTTATGGTCCCAGTCCCTCTCTGCTCCCACTCTCAGCCCCGTTATGGTCCCAGTCCCTCTCTGCTCCCACTCTCAGTCCCCCCACGGTCCCAGTTCCTCTCTGCTCCCACTCTCAGCCCCATTATGGTCCCAGTCCCTCTCTGCTCCCACTCTCAGCCCCTCCATGGTCCCTCCTCGCCATGCTGGGGTCCCCGAGGCCGGGTCCGCACCCCTGCCCATGGGGCCGGTCCCAACGGGGATCCCAGGCTGATTAAAGACCTGGGGGTGCCTTTCCCGTGTCCCTCCTGCTGTGGGGCCACGGCTGCATCTGCCCCTTCCTCACCCCATCCCGGCTCCCCGAATTCCAGGGCCAGGGAGTCACGGGCCCGCCTGGCTGCGGGGCCGGTGATTCACCCCAAACCTGTCCCGGTCCCTGCCGGGCCTGACTCACCTGCCGCTTTCCCAAGAGGCCATCCCGGGCCCTGACGTGGGGCTCGGTGAACGTCCCAGCCCCGTCCCCCGGTCACCCCGGGGCCGGATGGGGCTGCAGGAAGCCAATTCCTGCCCCGTGAGCTGGTGTGACGGCTGTGGGGTGGGGACAGGGCCACCCCGTCCCTGCCACTGCCTCAGGGCTCGGCACAGACCGGGCCGGTGACGGTGACGCTGTGCCGGGGACCCCCGTGCCCTCGGCCCCCAAAACACCGCGGGGGCTTTGGCACCCCGAATTCCCGCGTGCTGCCCCGGGGGGCTGCTGGCTGCAGCCTTGCTGTTTGTCACAGCCGTGGGTGAGGCTGGGGACGTCGGGGACAGTCCTGAGGCTGTGTCCGGGGTCCCCTTGGGGTCCCCATGGGAAGAGGGGTGCCCCCGGGAGCTGCTCGGTGTCCCCAGCCATGTTAGAAACAGCCACTAACTAAAGGGGAGCACTCGGGCCATTCCAACACCCTAATTAATTGGGATTAATTAATTTTTACAGAGCCCACTATTAATAGGGATGATGTCACAGGCGGCTGAGTCACAACTCTCACTCGGTGCGGGCCGAGCCGGGCCCTGGCTCGGTGACGCTGCCGGAGCCGGGATGTGACAGGGATGTCACCGGAATGTGACCGGGGCTCCGGGGTCACCTCCTTGTCCCCAGCCCTGCAGGGAGGGAGCTGGGGGTGACACCTGCCCTGCACCCCCGGAACGGGGCTCAAAGTTTGGATTCAATCATCTCGGGGGTCTTTTCCAACCAAAACGATCCCGGGGGTGTTTCTGTGCAAGGTCCCGGTGATGCTCCAGCCCCGGGGCCGTTCTCTGCCCGCGGTCCCCTCCTGTCCCCACCGGAGGTGCCCGGGCCGAGGCCGCGGCGAGCTCAGGCCGAGCTTGGTCCTGTGCCCGGGCGGGGAGGGAGCAGAGGACGGCGGGACGGACGGACGGACGGACGGCGGCGCCCGGGCGGTGACTGCGCGTCCGTCCGGCCGCGCCAGGAAACCCAACACCGGCGCGGGGGGGACAAAGGCTGCGCTGTCCCCGCTGTCCCCTCCTGCAGCACGGCTATAAAACCTCCTGAGAACGCCCCAGACCTCCCGAACCCCTCGAAACCTCCCGGGGGGCACCAGCTGCCCGCAGCCAGGGGGTAAGTGGGCATCGCTCTCCGCAGCTCCGGCCGCACCCCGGCCGCGGCAGCGCCGCTGGGGACCACTGATGTCCCGCTGTCCCCTCCCCGTGTCCCCGCTCCGGGATCGGGCGGCAGCGGCGTCATCCCCGGGACCCGCTGCCCCTCGCCGAGTCCTGCACAAGCCCCGGGACCCTCGGGGCTGAGCTGAGCCTTCGCTGGGCTGGGGAGGGGGCGAGGGTCTCCCCTCGGGACACCCCTCTGCCTCCCACCGCCTCTGGGCTCCTGTCCCTGCAGCCCCGGGCTAGCGGCGTGTCCGGTGCCATGGCCGCGGCCGAGCTGCCCGAGCCGAGCGAGCCGAGCGAGCTGACCGAGCTGGAGGCGGCCATCGAGCGCATCGTCACCGTGTTCGTCACCTTCGCCGCCAAGGAGGGCAGGAAGGGGACGCTGACGGCCGGCGAGTTCAAGGAGCTGGTGCGGCTCCAGCTGCCCAACCTGATGAAGGTGAGGGGAGCCGCAGCAGCAGCGCGGGGTCCCCGGGGGTCCCCCTGACCCGTGGGGCTGTTCCCGGTGCCCCGGGGGTTTGCAGTCGTGCCCGTCCCGCTCTCTGGGGGCTGGCGAGCGGCCGAGCCTCCCTGGCGGGTGCTGCCCGCAGGACGTGCCCTCGCTGGAGGAGAAGATGAGCGAGCTGGACGTGAACAACGACGAGGAGCTGAGATTTGGGGAGTACTGGCGGCTGATCGGGGAGCTGGCCAAGGCCGTGCGGAGGGACAAAGCGGGGAAGAAGTGACGGGGCCGCTGCGGGGACTCGGCCGACGTGCGGCAAATAAAAGAGGTTTCCCTGAGCCTGAGCATCGCTGCTGTTCTTGGTGGGGGGCTCCTGATTTGAGCCCCCATCTCCTCCTCCCCCGTGGTGGCCACGCTGGGGCCGGCCCAGCCCAGGCGTGCTGGCTTGGGGTCACTCCGTGGCTCCGGGCACCCCGGGACGGACGAGGCCATTCCCAAATTGCCCTTGCACTGGTCTGGCTTTTGGGGTGCCACCCTGCGCCCCACAAACACCTTCCTGCCACGCTGGGGGGTGCGTGGGGGGCAGAGCCGTGGCTGTGGCCGGGGTGGGGCTCGGGAGATCCCCGGCAGCGATGCCGCGCTGGCCACGGTGGCCGCCAGCTCCGTGGCATCAGCGCCCGTCCTCTGCAGGGTCTTGGGTGGCGGGGGGTGACACATCCACCAGCGCATCCCGGCCGGGGAATGTCCCCGCTCGCAGCGCTCAGCTCCCGAATCCCGGCGCTGCTGGCTGCTGGAATCCCGCTCTGGGCGAGCAGCCGGGCCCGGTGCCGTTCCCACGGCCCGCTCGGATGGGGAACCGTCAGTGTGGCCGGGAAGGAGGCGTTTCCCGGCCCCACGCTGGCGCCGGGCCAGGCTCCCAAATGAGACGCCTTGCACCACGGAGCTCCCACTCACACCTCCCCGGTATAAAACCCCGGCCCGCCGCAGCCCGCGCACACCCGGGACAGCCGTGCTGCAGGTAAGTGGCCCGGCCGCCCCACGGCACGGGGGGCTGCTCCCCCCGCGGGCCCCTCCGCTCCCACGCTCGGCCCTGCCACGACTTGCGAGGACGCCGGGGACGTGTCCCGGCAGCTCCGGCGCCGCATCCCGGGGCTCCCTCCTCGCCCTCCGCTCGGGGATGAGGAGGAGTCCTGGCGCTGGAGGAGGCGAAGCTCCCCCCGAGCCGAGAGCTGAGCTTGGCTTCCTTGCCCCGCCAGCTCCCCCGGACCCCGCGGCAGAGGAGAGACCCCCGGAGAGAGAGAGAGAGAGACCCCCGAGGAGCCGCGAGCAGCAGGATGGGCCAGTGCAACTGCCGCAAGAAGCGCAAGGTGCGGCGGGGACGCCGCGGCACCGGGAACACCGCGGCACCGGGGACACCGCGGCACCGGGACCCCCGGCGGGGCGGGGGTGACCCCGCACGGCCCCGGGGCGCGGCGTCAATCGGGGCGCCCCGGAGGAGCCGGGGTTCGGCAGCTCTGGGGTTCGGCAGCGCCGGGCACGGCCGCTGCGGAGCCGCTTGGAAGCCCGGGGAAGCAGGAGCTCCGTCTGCTCCCGCGGATGGACCTTGGGCAGCCGCCCGCGCTCCTCGCAGCCCCTCCGAGGATGCCCGAGGGCGGACGAGCTCCTGCTCTCCTCGGCTTCCAAACGGGACGCGCCCACCGCGCCGCGCCTGGCACCTGTGGAGGATTTGGGGCGCCGGGCTGAGGCTCTGGAGGTTGCCAGGCTCTGCCCAGTGGGCATCACCGGCTGTGGTTGCACGGCGTTCCGAGGGGAAGCCGCAGATTTGAGTGAATCACCGTCTTTTCCCTTAAACGGAGCCGCACGAGCGGCCGGGAGCTACCGGGAGCGGCCGGGAGCTACCGGGAGCGGGGTCGGGCTGCTCTGCGCCCCCCGCCCCGCCGGGCACGGGCTCTGGGGGTGGCAGAGGGGCTCCGGGAGCCCCAGGCCGGCGGCACGGCGGGCACTGACTCACGCTGCCACCGCCACCCGTGCGGAGGAGAGGAAGAACCAGTCGGGACGGGCCCGCGCCGGGGGTGGCGACAGACGCCGGGGTGGCTGAGCCTGGCGGCCCCGGGCGGGGACAGCGCGTCTGGGGGGTGACAGCTCGGGGGGACAGGCGGTGGCAGCTGGAGGGGCTGTCACAGCCGGGCAGAGCCGCTGCGGAGGTGTGCGACAGCTGGATGTGGGGCAAAACATCTGTACGGTCTCACATCTGGGTGCAGATGTGTGGGGACAGAGGGCAGGGGGGCTCACAGCTGGATGGGGAGGTGTCACAGCTGGACGGGAGGGCGTCACAGCTGGACGGGAGGGTGCCTCACATCTGCACAGACGGGCCAGGTTCTGACGAGGAGATTTTTGCCGGGGCTGTGCAGGGGTTAAATGTTGGCTCGGGGAGCGTCCCACCCGCTCGGGGCTCGTCCTGTCGCCCCCGAGGGATCTCCCACCCCACCCGGGAGCTGTCCCAGCCCTCCGGGAGCTGTCCCAGCCCTGCACGGAGCTGTCCCAGCCCTGCACGGAGCTGTCCCCGCCCTCCCGGAGCTCACTCGCCCTCCGTGCCCCCCGCAGGACTGCCAGGAGCTCACGGACGTGGAGCGGGCCATCGAGACCGTCATCAGCCAGTTCCACTGCTACGCAGTGAAGGGGCAGAAGGAGTACCTGACCCCCAACGAGATGCAGGAGCTGGTGGTGCAGAAGCTGCCGCACCTGGGCAAGGTGAGGGCAGAGCCCGGGCGTGGGCAGGAGGAGCTGGGGGGCCCCTGGCTGCTGGTGGGACCCCCCAGCCCCATCACCCCGACATTCTCTCCGCAGTGCGTGGGACCCCTGGAAGAGAAGATCGAATGCATGGGAGACCCGAACGAGGCCAAGCTGGAGTTCGGAGAGTACTGGGACATGATGGGGGACGCGGCCAAGGGCTGCCGGAGGAAGTAGAGGGCGGTGGGGGACGGGAAGGCGCCCGAGGCCTCGGGCTCCGCTCCTGGAAGGCGAGAGGCCGCGGGGCCCGGGGGATGCGCCCGGGCTGAAGCCACCTCGCTGCTGCCGGAGGATCGCCCGGCTCCATCCCCGCGCTGCTCGCTCCCCTTCCCGTCGGGACCGCTCCCTGCCCGCCCCCGGCCCTGCCCCGTGCCCGGCGCGGGGGCACGGCGGCTTCCTGGCCCCGGGGCCGCCTCTCTCCGTGCGCTCCAGCCCCGGGCTTGTCCCACCTCCGGCCCCCCGAAACCCTCGGGGCGCGGCTCCCCCAGCCCCGGGGCATCGCGGACAGAGGGCCCCGGCTCCGTTCCCCAGCCCCCCCGGCTGTGGGGCTCGGCCCCCCAAACCCGTCACCCCATGGCACCCCATGGCACCCCGGGTACCCCCGGGCACCCCATGGCACCCCGGGCACCCCGGGCTCGCCGTGGCAGCGGGTGGTGGCGCGGCCCGGGAGCCTCCCCTGCCGTCCCCCCCGGTTTTTGGGGGGCTGTGCTGCCCTCCCGGTGCTCCCCACCCCAGGGATTCCGGCCCTCAGCCGGGCACGGGGCCGGGCCGGGATCAGCTTGGGCCGCTCGGAACCATTTTTGTATAAATTAATAAAGGAAAACACTGGGAAAAAAAAGAAAAAAACCCAAAACAAAGCGACCCGGATTGGGTGACCTCATTTGTCTTTGGGGGGAGTGGGGGGCCGGGGGGGCTGCAGCCACTGTGGGTTGGGTGATCACTTTGGGGTGTGCAGAGGATGGGGCTGCAGGGGTGCAGGGGAGGCTTTGGGGCTGCAGGGGTGCAGGGGATGCTGCAGGGGGTGCAGGGGATGCTGCAGGGGGTTCAGAGGAGGCTGTGAGGGTGCAGGAGGTGCTGTGGGGGTTCAGAGGATGCTGTGGGGGTGCAGGGGGTGCAGGGGATGCTGCAGGGGTGCAGAGGGTGCTGCAGGGGTGCAGGGGGTGCTGCAGGGGTTCAGAGGATGCTGTGGGGGTGCAGAGGAAGCTGGGGGTTGCAGGGGATGCTGTAGGGTTGCAGGAGATGCTTTGGGGGCTCAGAGGATGCTGTGGGAGTTCAGAGGAGGCTGTGGGGGTGCAGGGGGTGCTGCGGGGGTGCAGGGGGTGCTGCGGGGGTGCAGGGGGTGCTGCGGGGGTGTGTGACTCCTGTGGACATCCCAGGGCTCCCCACACCCCCAATTCCAGGCGCCTGCTGGTCCCCGTTGTGGGCACCCCAAACGGGTGCCAGGGCCGTGCTGGGCTGGAGGGAGCTCAGGGGAGACCCCAAAATCCTGGCCGACCCCAAAATCCAGGGCTTGGAAAGCCCCAGGGGCTGCGAGGCCGGGAGCTGTGCGGGGAGAAGGTGGGATTTGGGTGCAATTACAGCAAATTGGGGAAGAGCAAATGGCACCAAGCTGCAGCTCCCGGAGAGTGAGGAAACCGCCTGGAGAACCCGGTTTTCCCACTTTTCCTTTGCCCTTCCCACCCAGCTCCACCTCCTGGAGGAGGCTGTGGGCACCCCAGAAACGCAGCGGCGACCCTAAAAATGAGTGTCTAAAAAGGGAGAGGGCGTGGGCGCCCCGGCAGCGCCTGGGTCACCCGGAGAGGGAGAAAAGCAAAGCCAAAAGCGCTGCAAAGCTCGGATGAGGCGATAAGGGGTGATAAGAGCCGGGGCTGGGCTGGGGACGGGTCCTGCAGCTCCGGCAGCGCGGCTCGGCCACAGCAGCCTCCGTCTGCTCTCTCGGGCTGGATTTCACAACGGGAATGACTATTTATTGTCCCTCGCCTGGAAATAAATGCATGGGAATTAAGCAGAAAGGTGTGGCTGCGTTTAATTGGAGACAGGAAATGTGTCAGGTCGGGGTGATGGAGGGGAAAGGGGAGCCGGGGCTCCCCAGACCCGCAGCGGGCTGGGACCGTGGGGACTCCTGGCTGCGCCCGCTGTGACACCGAGGGCGATTCCTGCCGCGTGAGCCAGCCTGGCCGAGCCTCTGGAATGTTCTGGAGGTGACAGGAACAGCTCAGCCCACGCTGGGACAGCCCCTGGCACACCGGGATCCCACCCTGGAGCTCAGCAGAGACCCCAAGCCCAGCGCTCGGCCCCTCCGGAGACACCCAACACCTCGCATCCCTCCAGCCGGGTGCTGGATCGGGGCACCCCGACCCGCCCGGGGTGCAGCGGGCTGGGAACGGCGCTGGGACGGCTCCTGGCTGCTCGGGGCACCCGCACACGCCCTGGATGCCTCGTAAAAATAAGGGCCTGGATGCGGTTGTGACATCTGCCAGGGGAGCAGAGCGATGAAAGGCCGTGATTCAGGCTGAGCTGTTCGCCTGCAGGCTCCGGGAGGGATTCCCACCCTGCTGGGATGTTGCATCACGCCACGACAGCGAGCACCGCGGCCCAGAACAGGTTTGCTTCCTCCCGACCGAGATTAGGAAGAGGCCGGGGGGGTGGGGAGAGCAGGGCTGACACGTTTTTTCCGGGACGGGAGCTCCGGAGGTGCCGGGAGCAGGCGGCTCCCAAAAAATCTCCTCCTGCTTTGCATCCTCAGCTGCGCCCTCCCCGATAAGGCCGGGATCTGATCTCGGCATCGCATCGCTCCGGGAGACAGCAGGCCTGCAATTTGCCGGGATAATTAATTATGGATGGGACTTTACAAGCCCAGCTCCCAGCTGGGAAGAGCCTCATCCACCCCAGTGCAGGCAGAGACGGCCGAGTGCTGCACAGGGCCCCGAGCTGCGCCGGCCCCTTGCACCCACCAGAACAGCAGGTTTGGGCTCAAATAAAGGAGTTTATTTGCCCCAAACTAGTGTCAGCCCCTTGCACCCACCAGAACGAGGGATTTTAGCTCAAATAAAGGATTTTACTTCCCCCAAACCTGTGCTGGTCCCTTGCACCCACCAGAAAAGTCATTTCGGCTCAAATAAAGGATTTTATTTGCCCCAAACTGGTGCCAGCTCCCTCAACCCACCAGAACAAGTTCTTTTGGCTCAAATAAAGGATTTTATTTGCCCCAAACTGGTGCCAGCTCCCTCAATCCACCAGAACAAGTTCTTTTGGCTCAATAAAGGATTTTATTTGCTCCAAACTAATGCCAGCTCCTTCAACACACTAGGACAAGTGGTTTTGGTTCAATAAAGGATTTTATTTGTCCCAAACCTGTTTCAGCTCCTTGTACCCACCAGAACAAGTGATTTTTGTCTTAATAAAGGATTTTATTTGCCCCTGAACCAGTTTCAGCCCCTTGCACCCACCAGAACAAGAGGTTTTGGCGCAAATAAAGGAGTTTATTTGCTCGGAACCTGTTCCAGCCCCTTGCACCCACCAGAACAAGTGTTTTTGGCTCAATAAAGGGTTTCCTTTGCCCCCGGGGCCTGGGGTGGCTTGGAGCTGGGGTGGGTGGATTTCCAAACCCCGGGATCAGGTGGGAATCCTGTGCTGGGAGCCCTCGGCCCCGTGCAGCCCTTTTGGGGCGTTCTGGGGGGTTCCCCACTCCCATCCCGTCACCCCAAACCGGCAGCCCCCGGGAGGAGCCGGAGCCGCTGCGGGTCCCGGCTCGCTCCGGCCCGTCCCGGTGTTGCAACCTCCGGGAGCCATTTCCCAGGTGAGCCCCGGCCCGGGAACGCCCTGGAACGTCAGGGAGGGCTGGGAGCCTCCTTAAAAACCCGGCTGGGCCGGAGGGATGGGTGCGAGGTGAGGAGAGAGCGGCCACACCGCCCGCGAGGCCACAGCGCGACTGACGGACCCAGCGGGAGCCCGGCGGGATGCAGGTGGGGCTCCCGGGAATTCCCGGTCCCCCGGCACCGGGAGCCCGGCCTCGGCAGTCTCGGACTGAGTGGCGGGCTGGGAAGAGCCCTGGGATGTGTCGCTGCAGGTTGGGAGGTGGAAATTCCTGGAGTCCTTCGGCAGCTCCGGGAGCGGGCCCGGCTGGAGGGACCGGCCGGGGTCACCGGGGAGGGGAACCGGGACCGGCCGGGGTCACCGGGGAGAGGAACCGGGACCGGCCGGGGTCGCCGGGGAGGGGAACCGGGACCGGCCGGGGTCACCGGGGAGAAGAACCGGGACCGGCCGGGGTCACCGGGGAGGGGAACCGGGACCGGCCGGGGTCACCGGGGAGAGGAACCGGGACCGGCCGGGATGTCCGGGACGGGACCGGCGGCACCCACGGACCGGCCGTGCCGCTGGGGAGCTCGGCGTGGGGCCGCCAGTGGGGTCTGGCTCCTGGAAAAATGGGATCTGCCGGTGGAAAAGGGAGATTTACCGGTGGAAAAGGGGATTTATCAGTGGAAAAGGGGATTTGCCAGTGGAAAAGGGGATTTGCTGGTGGAAAGGTGGATATGGCAGTGGAAAAGGGGGATTTGCCAGGGGAAAAAAGAGGTTTTGCCAGTGGAAAAGGGGGGATCTGGCAGTACAAAATGGGGATTTCCTGGCGGAAAAGGGGGATTTGCCGGTGGAAAAGGGGGATTTGCCAGCAGGGGTTCCGAGCAGGGCTCAGGCCGGGCTGGGGCCGTGCGGGGCTCTCTGGCCCCGCTCCGGGCGCTGCCGAGCGGCGAGGGAGGAGAGGGAGACGGGAGAGAGAGGCGGAGCTGCGGCAGAGCCCCTTCCCAGCGGGGCACCGGGTCCCCGTGTCCCACGGTGTCCCCCTGTCCCACGGTGTCCCACGGTGTCCCCGCGTCCCACGGTGTCACGGTGTCCCTGTGTCCCACGGTGTCCCCGTGTCCCCCTGTCCCAACAGTGTCCCCCGGTGTCCCCCTGTCCCACGGTGTCCCCGTGTCCCCCTGTGTCCCCCTGTCCCACGGTGTCCCTGTGTCCCACGGTGTCCCACCGTGTCCCCGTGTCCCACGGTGTCCCACGGTGTCCCCGTGTCCCACGGTGTCCCCGTGTCCCACCGTGTCCCACGGTGTCCCCGTGTCCCACGGTGTCCCTGTGTCCCACGGTGTCCCCCTGTCCCACGGTGTCCCACGGTGTCCCCCTGTCCCACGGTGTCCCCGTGTCCCCCTGTCCCACGGTGTCCCACGGTGTCCCACGGTGTCCCCCTGTCCCACGGTGTCCCCGTGTCCCCGTGTCCCACCGTGTCCCCGTGTCCCACGGTGTCCCCGTGTCCCCGTGTCCCACCGTGTCCCCGTGTCCCACCGTGTCCCCGTGTCCCACGGTGTCCCCGTGTCCCACGGTGTCCCCGCGTGCCACCGGCGGTCCCGGTGCCCGCGGCCGGCCCCGGGGCTGGGCCGTGAGTCAGCGGCGGAGCAGCAGCGCCGCGCTGCCCCAGGGCCGGGCCGGGCGCCCTGGCCGGGACAGGTGACACCGATGTCACCCCGGGCGGGCGCAGGGGGGCCGAGGGGGCTTTTGCCCCGGTGCTGCCGAGTCCCTTCGGCTCCTGGAGGGGCCGGGGCTGGGATCCCTGCGAGCGCCACCCTGGTGCCACGATCCTGAGAGCTGGGGACAGTCCCCAGCCCTGGGTGATGGAGTGACCCCGGGCAGTGGCACCACGGCGACAGGGATGGCCTGGGAGGACACAGAGCCACGCTGAGGCACGCGGGGACAGGGACGAGAGCGTGGCTGGGCCTGGGGTCGCCTCCCTGGGGCCGGACTGGGGAGGATCGGGGTGAGGAGAGGGGACAGGAGCCAGGCTGTGGCACGGAGCAGGTCCTGCCTGCTCCCAGAGCAGCAGCCGGGCTGGGGCCACCCTCTGCTGGTGTCCCCAGAGTGGGGACAGGGCTGGGGCCACCCTCTGCTGGTGTCCCCAGAGTGGGGACAGTGCTGGGGCCACCCTCTGCTGGTGTCCCCAGAGTGGGGACAGTGCTGGGGCCACCCCTCGGCCCTCCAGGGCCCTCGTGGCGGTCGCTGTTGTCCCCTGGGCTGGGCTAAACCCAGTGGAACCAAAGGGACCGACCGAGCCCAGCTGTCCCCAGTCCCGGCCACCGTCGGGGCAGGAAGGAGCCGAGTCCGGCCAAGGTGACGCAGTTTCCTCGGCGGGGCCCATCCTGCTGGGCCCGGCCATGGGAAGGAGCTTCCTGGCCGGGGACAGGAGGGACACCGGGGCACCGAGCAGCCGGGAGGGGACCCTGGGCCGTGGGGCCGCCCCGGGCCGGGCTTGGGGGGGGCTCGGCTGGCCGGGACCTGCCCCGCCGGGCCGTTCCCGGAGCCGTGAAGCAACAGGAGGGCTGGCAGGTAATTCCTGCCCCTGCGCCGCCGCCGCTCGGCTCCCAGCCCCATTCCTCCCTAATGAGCGCTGGGAACGCGCGGCCGCGGCCCCGGCGCTGCTCAGCCCCACGGGGCCGCGGTCACCGCCCGGCCCACGCGTGGGGCGGCGGCCGCAGGTGGCACCGGGGAGTTCCGGGCCGGCGCGGCTGGCAGCGGGGATTTTGGGGCGATGCGGCGAGGGGAGAACCCCCCCAGGCCCTGCGGCGATGGGTTTTTCTTGCCGGGGCGGTTCGCGTGGAGACCCCCGAGCCATCGATGGCCGCGGGGAGGGTCTCACCCGAGCGCCGACCCCGCAGGGAACCATGGCCGAGTGCACGGAGCTGGAATGGGCCGTGCAGGTGCTGGTGAACAACTTTGACAAGTACTCGAGCCGCTGCTGCTGCTGCAAGAACCCGCGGCGCATCAGCAAGAAGGATTTTCGGAAGATGCTGAGCCGCGAGCTCAACCACATGCTGACGGTGAGGCCGGGGCCCCGGGGCCGGGGTCCCGCGGGCTCTCCCCGCCCCGAGCCCCGCCTGAGCGGCTCCGCTCTCCCCGCAGGACACCGGGAACCGCCGCGCCGCCGACAAGCTGATCTGCGACCTGGACGAGAACAAGGACGGGCGCATCAGCTTCGAGGAGTACTGGACCTTGATAGGCGGCATCGCCAGCCCCATCGCGCAGATCATCCGCCAGCAGGAGCAGAGCGTCAAACACACCAAGTAGCCGCCGCTGGACCCTCCCGGACCCCCCCGCTCCTCCGCGACCCCCGCTTTGTGCCCGCCCCGAGCCTCCGGGCCCCACCGCGCCGGGACGGGCAAGCCCTGGGGTGGGATTTGGGGTGCGAGGCCGTCGCAGCCTCGGGGGGCTCCTCCTTGCCGCGGCCCCCTCCTCTCCCGCAGGGAGCAGAGGGGGAGGCTCCCCCCGCTCCGGGAATTCTGTGCTCAGCCCTCGGCTGGCAGGAATCCCACCGCGAGCAGCACCCCCTCTGCCCCTGGGGCTCCCCCCCAAACTGGGGGTGCTCTCCTCGCGCAGAGGGTGCTTTTCCCCCCCCTCCCCGAGCTGCTGAAGGCTCTGCCGCGCCCGGGGCTCGGGGAGCGGCGCGGGCCCGGCCGGGTGCCACCACCGTGGTTATTTATTGCCGCAATAAAGTTCGGAGGAGCAGCGGGTGTCGCTCCGGCTCTGCCGCCGCGGAGGGCCCGGGGGGGCTGCGGGAGGGGGTCCGCCCCGTCCCCGCCCTCCCCGAGCGGCCACGCCTCGCCTGGGCTGGGACGATGCCGGTGCCGGTGGCCCCGGGGCCGCCGCGGGGTGTCAGCAGCCGCCGCGCCCGCCCGGCCCCGCCGCAGCCCGGGGCGCGGCGTGGGGCCCGCGGCCGCTTTGTCGCTGGAGGCCCCTCCGCGTCCCCACGGGGGTCCCTCGGCCCGCGGGGAACCGCGGCCGCACACCCACGGCCGCCCCGACCCCAATTCCTGTCCCCCCAGCCGGGATGGGGACAGAGATCCCGGGACCCCCGCGACCCCCGGGACCCCCGGGCTGGGCAGGGACGGGTCCCGGCGCTCCGGCTGCTCCCGGGGATTTTCCACCGGGAAGGGGCTGGGCCGTGGCCCTGCGAGAGCGGGGGGGACCCCCGAGACCCCGCTCCGAGGCACGGGGGTGGAACCGGGACCGGTGGAACCGGGACCCCGCGGCTGTGAATCCCCCACTCCGAGGCACGGGGGTGGAACCGGGAACCGGGACCGGTGGAACCGGGACCCCGCGGCTGTGAGCCCCCCAATCCGAGGCACGGGGGTGGAACCGGGACCGGTGGAACCGGGACCCCGCGGCTCAGCCCCCCACTCCGAGGCACGGCGGTGGAACCGGGACCGGTGGAACCGGGACCCCGCGGCTCTGAGCCCCCCCACTCCGAGGCACGGCGGTGGAACCGGGACCGGTGGAACCGGGACCCCGCGGCTGTGAGCCTCCCAGTCCGAGGCACGGGGGTGGAACCGGGAACCGGGACCGGTGGAACCGGGACCCCGCGGCTCTGAGCCCCCCAATCCGAGGCACGGGGGTGGAACCGGGAAACGGGACCCGTGGAACCGGGACCCCGCGGCTCT